GGTACCGGGGTATAGATATCCAAGCAAGGATTTGCCAGTCGTGCTTTTGCTTCGCGCAGCATTGCCCCAAAGGCCGGACAAGCGCGGCTACCAAAATGCGAGACTCTAGCCCTGGACAAACGAAGCCCTAAGCCATGCCCTGCTTCCGGAGCATATACCTGGGCAGCCCAAGTCCCTTTTGAAAGTGCTATGACAGAAAGAAGCCATCCCCCTCGGTAGACCTTCAATATTGAAATTTCAGCATATGGCATTCAGAAGCAACAGCCTTGAACTCAAAACCCACAGACCTCATTCTAGATCCCCAAACCCATCCCCGATCCCCAAACACGAAAACACGATTCTAGACCCCAAAGCCAAATTGAAAAAGGAAAGCGCAAGCTGTTAAGACTCTTAAGAAACCCCTAAACTTCAGAGCGCCCGGCCCTAACTACCTCTAAATGCCAAATACAACGTAAACCCTAACCGAAACCCTAGAAACCTCACCCTAACAAGACAATGGCCTCGAGCCGCCATGGTTTCCGGGCGCTCCGGCACGAGGGTGAATGCTCTGAAGACGGCTCTGAAGAGGAGGCTCGCATGCAGACTATATAGCGGCTGTAACTCGTTAGAACAAGGCTCCTTTAAGGGTGTCTATAAGGGCCCCTTTAGGAGATAATAATGGGGGCTGCATACTTGGAACTGGGTTTTGGGACCCATGTTTCTGTTGGGCTCTTTGGTCATTGTAGTAGAGTCTTAGAGGCCTCCCAACGATGTCATCTGGATGTAGGAGGCATATTACGCCATAGTTGTTCAATACTGAAAGGTTGCAGATAGGGCTTGGGACTCTCCGGCCTGCACTGCAAGGGCTTGATGTTTGGGGTGATGATGATGCGGATGATGGTTGTGGTTGGAGCTATTGGTGACTACTGAAAAGGGCAACCTATTGATGTTCCGAAGTTGGGCTCTTGTAAATTTACTAGCGGACTAGTGGTGGGCCCCAGTTTTTTGCTATTTCCGGCGTTGCACATTCCGGCACGTGTCTGCCTGTATTGTTTGCGAGGTTCTTGTATTGTATATCCATCATTGGCTTGAGGCTCCTTGTCTTCCTACACACACACGCACACACACACACACACAGACAGACAGACAGACAGACAGACACACACACACACACGCAGTTTCAACACGGGGCCATGGGTTAGAACGATCTGGAATGGGAAATTGACGTTGCAAGCAACCTGTCTCACGGGACAGGGCTGCAACTGGCACATTCAGAAGCAGGGGCTGCAAGCTCAAGCAAGCTCGTAGCACACGATTCACAGAAGTTTTTTCCGGGCTTAACTGCTAGAGCAACTTTAGGCCCCTCGGCCCAAGAAGCGGTTACCACCGAAGCATCCCAGCCAAAGCATGGCACTCATTCCGTGGCACCCAGGTGCATTCAAACATCCAGCCCAAGCCTCAACCTACCAGCCACAAACCCAGGAAGCCTTAATGAAAACCCTTTAAGTTGGTTGAAGTTGGGTGCCCCTTGGCTGTAGCAGCGGTGCAGTTGCAATCTCTCTCTCTCTCTCTATCTATATAAGATGTGTATATATATATATATATATATATATATATAGAGCTAGGGTTGGTCAAACTTTAGGCTTGACAGGCACGCAGCTTGTCTTACTGGACCCATCTTCTTGCATAATTTTGGCTGTACTGAAGTAGGTTCTCTCAAACAGTGGTGAACAAAGCCGGGACAAAAAACAGAGGGCCCTGTTTTTAAACTCAGGCCGAGCCAGCCTTTGCAGAAGCACGGATTGCTGGGAGTCTTGGTCCCGGCCTTGGGCTGCGGAGCTCCACTGACACGGCCTCCGCACTAGGTAATCAAAACAGCAACGTGGCCCTGGCAACCTTCTGAGTGCGAGTTGCTTGAGCTGCCGAGAGTAGCAGTCGATGTGGGTATTTCCTCAGGGCAGCACACGCGTCTCACCTGAGACGTTGCCGAACTGTGATGTCCGCGTGTGTGTACACACACACACACACACACACATATATATATATATATATAAATATACATACATCTGAGAGAGAGATATATATATATATATGAGAGAGAGAGAGAGGGATATCGTACATATACACTATATAGATTAGCAGTAATTCAATACATATACGTACACACATATACGCACACGCGAACGAACACACACACACACACACACAAACACACACACACACACACACAAACGCGCACAACCCACCCGCCCACCCACCCACCCCACCCCCACCGCACACCCCACACCCGACACCCCACACCCCACACCCCACACCCCACACCCCGCACCCACCAACCCACCAACCAACCAACCAATCACCCCACCCACCCCACGCCCCACCCACCCACCCACCCAAAGATGGACCGTCCTTGACACACCCACACACATAAATACAGAAATACATATATACATGCACACGCCCCAGAAAGTCCGGGACAATAGTCCTGGAGGTGGTTTTCCATTCTCGAGCTAATCCATCGCCTAGGACGCCAATCTAAGGGCTTCTTCGGCTGTAAGCGTTGTCGAAAGCCAGCGTTTCCGACCCGATCAACAACTAACTGAAGTCTTTTGGCTGCCACAACGTTTTCATCATGCCTTGAAGCTTCGACCAGGTGCACAGGATGCTGGACAAGACGAGGATGACCCACTCGAGGTGTCGAAACCGGCTCGTCACGAGTCCTTGTGCGACACACTGCCGTTGCAAAGGGTCCACGGTCTGGGGGTCTGCAATGGAGATGGCTGCTAGACGAAGTTCACCGGACGCGAGGACGATGCGGAAGATCGGTGCCTTGTCGACACCGGAACGGCCGGTGAGCAGATGCCCTCCAGGCACGCTTCTGACCTGTGTGGGTGGGCGATTATGGAGTCAGGGTCAACTTGTGCAAAACCCTGGGCTCGGATTATAGCACGCATGTTGCATGCAGTCGGTGTCAATCTAATTACCCCTATATTCTGTCAACTTCAATGTCTGGCTGTTGCCGCTGTTCTCTCGCATAGTCACTCTAGGACGCTGGGGCTGTTGGACAAACGGAAGCGCCACTACACTTACGCAAGCTGCTCCATGCAAACACCGCACAGGCCAAGCCGAAGTCCGAACGATACAGGCTCTCTGAAGCTCGTAGTACCCCGCCACACAACATGCACACGAAAGACCTGACGAAGTTTCAGACGACGAGGGCGACTTGGGCGAATAGGACGAGGATGGCGATGGCGATAACGGTGCCGACTCGATTACGACGACGACGACGACGACGACGACGACGATTACGACGAGGGCAAAGATACGAATGCTGTTGTTGGTGGTGTTGTTGCTGCTCCTGCTGTTGTTCAACTCCGTTGCTTTCGACAAACGCTCTTTCCATCATTCAACCGGCACTGCTAAAGCGATTGAGGTCGCTGGTAGTGTAGCTACACAAAGCATGCACCTTCAGGGGAATGCTGCTGTAACGGCTGTCGACATGGTAGATTCACTTCCTATAGATGCTGCGGAAGCCCTCGGCAGGGCACACGACTGAAATTCAGAGGTTCTTTTCACGATTTGTTTCATTGTCCGATGGCCTCATCGGTTCTCAATTGCCATTGCGATATGAAATTCCCATCCAAAAGCAAAGCGGCAGAATCTCCTACAGACCCGGATCGCACTAGTCACCACCCAGAGTCTCCGCATCTTCAACCTTCACCGCCACACCTGAAGCAGGTTGTCTGTCCAAGACGCCGTGGCATTTCGCATGGAGCAGGGCTTGCTTCCTGGCTGAAAAGTCGTGGGTTTTGGTATGATGTGCTGTGTTTACCACTCACACAGATTGCACATGGGCGCCTTTATGCAGACGGGATGGGTGAGTTTGTGAGTCTAGCGCTTGGGCCACGGGCTGTTGTGGCTCGGGCTTGTGACTTTGACCCTTCACCACAGAACAACAGCCGAGGCACATGATAAATAAACTGTTCTTTCGAGTGTCCATACACAGACAACTCCCACGGCTTCGTCCTTGGAAAACTACAGGCAGGAACCCGACAACCTATCAAAACTACACCCTCAATCCTAATTCTCCAAGACTTGACCATAGCTGAGGTCGCTCGATGGGCTAGACGGCGGGGACATCCGTGAAGCAGAAGAGTTGCATGACTGCATGTTGAGAACATGTTGTGCTAGCCGTAGATCCCCATCACATGTCGAGGAGGCGAGCAGCATAGGAGTGCTCGTTGGCTTAAACAGATGGGCTCGGGTGCAGTGGCAGTTCATCCTCTGGATTTCTCAGTGAGCCTACACTCTTAATTGGCACTTCAGTTTTCAATGTCGAGATTGCGAACTGTGTGTGACATCCGCGGGTCTTTCCCTGCTGCCACTCCTTAAACCCGCGCCCAAGATTCCCAATCCTAGGCCCTAAACCCCATATTAATGCACTTGTCCCAGTACAGCCTGAGGTGCTCCAATTTCGGAGATGTATTGAGGGTCGAGACCGCAAGCGCCGTACACTCTACCGGCGTCCCTGCGTAACCATCCTAACCCAGAGTAGTAATGGCGTTAGAAACAATAGCAATAGTTTGCGACAGTAATCGACATGGTAGTAGTAGTCGTCGTCGTCG